GGGGGGGGGGGGCTGGCGCTCAGTGGACCGGGGTGGGAACCAGGCGCTTTAATAGCAAGCACATGAGACGTGGAAGGTTTCAAACCCGCCCAACCAGCAGTCATGGGAGATGTGTGTGTGTGTGTGTGTTGGTTGGGGGGTTGGGGATGGGGGTTAGTTAAACAGTAATATCCCTGTACTCAGCACTTGGCTAAATTAAAAGGGCATATTTGGCGTGGGGGGCACTTTATGGTGCCCAGGCGATTGGACGGGAAAAGGCGAAACTCATTACCTACCCATCTGCCAGTGAGAGAGAGAGAGATCTGTGGGAAAAGCGAGAGGGTTGGTTGGTTGGTTGGTTAGTGGGAGGGTGAAACAAAACAGACTTTTGAATGAGTTTTATCACCACTTCGTCCTCCATGTGTGATGAATTTGAAGAATTGTGCTAATTTAGTCTCATGGGGGGAACAGAAAAACGCTTTGGAAACAAAAGTAATGTGCAGCTGTTTCAGTCTTTGCATTAATATGCTGTTTTATTCCGATGTTATTGCTCTCACATGTTTTTGATGTTCTCTTTTCACTGCATTCTCCGGACTCCTCTTGAAACACGTTATGCATGCACGTGCTCACAATACCTTGTATCACAGCAACAATGTGTGCTACTCTGACCACAAAACTGGTTCAGCATCACTTTGAAGGTGCACCATTTTTTTTTTCAATCCGGAGGACAGCATCCCGCCATTGCCATGGCAACCTTGCATCACCTCAATGGCACCTTTCCAGTGACAAAACTACAGGGCTTCTTCACTTTATAAAGGTCCCGCCATGCGAGGTTTTGAGGTTAGAAATGCCGTACAATGAACTAATTTGCCTTTACAGCTTTACAGTTGCCACCCTGCATATTTTGCCACGCAAGTCGTGCTTCATTCAAAATATTGAAACCACAACCTTAACTGAACGTAAGAGTCCAGAACAGTGTTGTTCCGTAGCCCATGCTCAGCAACCGGTGGTGTCGTTTTGGCATAGTTAACGGGAACAAAAGTAAAAGTGAAACATCTTTTCTCCCAAGCATTCTGTTATCCGTGTGTAGTTGCACACCAACAGAATCATGTTTAGTCCTCCGTTGTCGCACCAGCTGCACGGTTGTAAGCCTTTTTGTCCCACTTAGGTGAGTCGGCGTGACGCCCTCGCAGCGGCGCTGGTTCGCTTTGATTAGCGCAGATGCGGGCAACTGCCATATTCTCACCGCGTCTTGTGTGAATATTGTTCGCAAAGGTGCCCTCCCTCTTGCCAGCTGGCTTTCGCTGTGGTAGGAAAAAAAAAAAAGACACGCATTTCCTTGGCAATGTTTGCATATTTGCCGGCAGCGCTTCCTCCTCATGCAGATAGCGTTGTTGCATCGGTTTATGTTCTCAGCAGAGGTGGCACAAGTACTCACACTGTGTGCTCGAGTCGAAGAACAGATATGCCTCGATCATGTTATCAGGTTACAGGTTATCATGATTGGTGCATGAAAAATTTCAACTGTATACTAACCCACAAAATGTACTTTACAGTTACAGGATTGTCTTCTAGTCTGAGTATAAATACCCGTGCTCTATGATGGTCTGGGAACACTCTAAATTGTCCCTCGGTCTGAGTGTGAGCGCAGATGGTTGTTTGTCTCTGTGTGCCCTGCGATTGGCTGGCAACCAGTTCAGGGTGTCCCCCGCCTACTGCCCGAAAACAACTGGGATAGGCTCTAGCGTGCCCCCGGATCTGAAAATGGATGGATGGATGGTTGTGATGGTCTGTTGAAAGACTATTAGGGAGCAAACACAATCATGAAGATCAAGAAACACACCACCAAGTTAAATTAAATGGAGAGAGTATTCGACCCCTGCAAACCTGCCAAGACCCGGCCGCCCCTCCAAACTTTCAGCCCAAACATCAGAGATGTTGCCCACGATTACTCTGGATGCACTGCAGAGCTAAAGTTGGGGAATCTGTCCATCGGACAACTATGAGTCACTCACTTCACAAATCTGGCCTTGTTGGAAGAATGGCAAGAAGAAAGACTTGAGATTGAGGTCGAAATTCCAGAGATCTTGTTTTTAAAATGTACTTAAAGTACATTGAGGTGCGCTTACACAGTGCTCAATGTTTAAAAAGACTTTGTTTCATTCAGTGTCCAACCTGCTGTGGTTGTATGTGTTGCGGCCCTTGATAACAGACCCCCTCTTTTAGCCAACGCATGCGTCCCATTTCCATCTGTACGCAATGAAATATTCAACTTCTCCCCTTGCCTCTCACATCAGCGGAGAGCTGCTTTGATATCCGCTCTAATACATGCTTGATATAACAGCGTTGCGTGCACTCGGCCCTTTGATAAACATGTTTAGGTGATGTATGTCTTCGCCTGTGTAGTTCACGCATCTCTCCTGAGCGCATAAATGCATTCATAAACCCCCCCTTAACCACTCCCATGATTAATAAATGCATGATCTCACGCTGTGGCCGAGTGTGTGCATGTCTGTTTCATATGTTCGTCTTGTGCACGCGTGCGTGTGAGTGTGTGTGTGTGACTCCGCCTCACTCATTCATATTCATCCCGGCATAATAAAAAGCGGCCGCGCCTCCAGATAGGACAGTCAGGGATAAGATCAAACATTGTAGTCGAAGTCGTTGGCGGAGGGGGAGGAGGAGGAAGAAAGAGGGGGTGTATAATTCATACTGGAACGTCCCCACACGCTCCTCACTTCCTCATTGTCATTCACATGCATTGCAGATGTGAACTCGTGGAGATGTCTCACTTAAGCGAGGTACGCAGCATTTTTTTTTTTTTTTATAAATGCGCAAGACTCCACACGACAAGGAAAACAATCAGCAACTGTGTGGTTATGTGTATAGTGCGTGCTGTACTCAAGATGAGCGGCACAGCACACGGCATTTATCTTTACGTCACGTGTGGAAATATCTGTACTGCTCTTTGAAGACAAAGATCAGTAATAGTACAGTCATAAATAGATGCTGTGTGACGAGGGAGCTGCATGTACTGTATACAAACAGTCAATGTTTATTTGCTCCTCTGTTTACGTCCGGAAAAAGAATAAGCTTCAGTCAGCTTCCTAATTGATATCGTTCATTTTCACGTCACAATTCTCGGCTCAGCCGTACTCGGTTAGTTGTGTTTAAAAAAAAAAAAAAAAAAAAAGACTCCAATTAAAATATATGCACTGATTCAACTCGTATATATTGTTTCACTCTGTTCCGTTCTTACTGACCTTACAGAATGGACGGTGAAAGCATCTTGCTTACTTGACTTTTATTGGCATAACTCATGCAGAACACGTACGTAACTCAAGCTCTGAACATCGGGGAGAACATACGTCACTTCCTGTTCCCTCACCCAAAGTTGTCCCCCGAGTAACAACTCAATCTAACAATACTATTGTTACATATACAGTACAGTATAAGGAAAAGTAAAAAATACAGACCGAAATGGTCCTAAAAAGTGAAAAGTGTTTTTTGTGAATGTTATAAACACATTGTTGTAATAGATGAAATGCATGGTACTGAACACAACTGAAATGTATTTAAAAAGAATAATAATGTTTAATCCACCGATACGTGATGCACAGTTTGAACATTGAATTTAGTGTTTCCACTGAGAATTACGGAACTCATACCTTTTTTTGTTTATCCGTCTCTTCTCCAGGTTTCCATCTGAGCGGCACAGTAACGGACCCCGCCACGCCCTCGTCCCCAGAACTCGTATGCAGCGTCAGCGTCAGCTTCGACCGTTGCAAGATCACCGCGGTCACGTGCACTTGCGGCAACAAGGACATCTTCTATTGCGCCCACGTGGTGGCGCTCTCGCTTTATCGGGTACGCAAGCCCGAGCAGGTCAAACTGCACCTGCCCATCTCGGAAACCTTGTTCCAGATGAGCCGTGACCAGCTGCAGAAATTCGTCCAGTATCTCATCTCTGTCCACCACACGGAGGTGTTGCCCACTGCACAGAAATTGGCCGACGAGATCCTGTCACAGAACTCCGAGATCAACCAGGTCCATGGTGAGTGTGTGATGGACAAAATATTGACGAGTCAAATTAGCATCGTGATAAATCATCATAGCCCTGCAGCAGGTTGCCAAAATGGTTGATAGACGCTCGACGGGAATTTCACTCTGTTTGAGTAGTCTACGTATTCGTACGTGCGTTGATGAGATGGGTTAAGCCTGAAATATAAGAAATCCAAACCGAGAGAAAACCACAGCCACAGCTCGGCTTCGCACCGTCGCATGAACAAACTCAGAAAATTGTTGAGCTGTGATTGGTCGTTACCTGAGCCCTGAGCAACTGTGATGTGATTTTCAGTCGAAAAGTGGCAAAATGGCCGCCACCTGAGATAGCTAAAAATGTAATTTTGCTGCTTAATTCATATTCCATAATCGCAACAGGAATCAGAATACAGTGTTTGGACTAGCGAGGACACATCGACCATACTATTGGAAAGAAAATGTTTACCAATGCTACATCTGTAATTGGGAAAAACGTATTGATAATGTAGCAGGAGCTGCTCTGTGTCTAATATGACAGCTATTTCTCCATCTATCTCTCAGTCTGTGATGGATGGATTATCGAAGGATTATCATCCATCATCATAATTCTTGTATGCAAACTATCACATTTAATTGGGAAGGTACTCTGTTATATGAGACATTGATCTGTCAATGATGGATGGATATATCGATCAGTTTTCCCTTCCCTAGTTACACGGATATCGATGTGTATCATCATTGACTTTCACATGTGGATTATTGTACAATCGCTTTGTGATATTTAGGGTAGGATCGGCAAATGTGTCATTGATAATGTATCAGGAGCGACACTGTGATATACGATAGGAAATGAATAGATAACGAATAAAGACAATGTTTTACCTGTCCAGGTTATATCTCATCAGGAGCTACATGATGATTGATATATTTGTATGTAAATGACCTTTTGAGGCTGTTTTTGCCCTTATCAGCTGCACAAATATCTAGCTAAATCATTTTTGAATAGCTGATTTGCGATGTTGTGATATTTAGTTAGCTGGGCAAAATATTGCATTGACATCGTATTGGGGAAATATGCCGTGATAAATTTGTCTGGCTGGATGAAGTATTCTGAATGAAAGTGAAGATATTATTTTATTTGTTTATTTTTAACTTCCTTAATTATAAAAATTGCAACATGTATCGTCAATGTGTTTCTTTCAAATCATCCTTTGTGTCCTGATATTATTGCACTGATTTCTAGCCCTCAATTGAAGTAGGCCGTGCATGCATTACCCATGCAGTTATTTGTAGGAGATTTGTCGTTTCACCTTTACTTGTGTGTGTGTGTGTGTGTGTGTGTGTGTGTGTGTGTGTGTGTGTGTGTGTGTGTGTGTGTGTGTGTGTGTGTGTGTATCGACTCAGGGATGAAGGCAAATTGCGGTAGGATCAATTCCGCGCTCATTAATGCGACGCAGACAGTAAAGGGGAGATTGGATGCATCTAATCAACACTTTATGGAGCCCTTATTTACCTCTTGAAGTGGAGTGACAGGGAGATGGGGATGATTGCAGGGAGGTTTGAAAATCAGTCTGTTGCTCTGCTCAGTTGTTTGCTTGAAGTCTACACGTATACCAGTGTCCCTCCCCATTTTTGTACAGTGGTATGTAGTTAGACCATATTATGTACTGTGCTTTATATTTTATTGACTAATCCTGACCTGTAAATGGGTAAATACATTAAAGGGATCGTTTGCAGAGTCAAAACTGCGAGATTGTAGCCTGACTTCACTCATCATCCCTCCCACCCACACTTTCACAACCATTATGAATGTGCACCAGATATGCACTGGAGATGAGCCGACGTGAGCCATGGCTGCAGGGGCAGAGCCACGGGATGGCCACTCCCATATATCGGGAAGGAACATTTGGATATCTTGTGATTTTTCTTTGATTCTCTGCCACAGGTTTTGCATATACCTTAACTGCATATTTCAAGAATAAATGTACAATCTATCGGAAATAATCTGTTTTAAGTAAGGAACACTCAGTTCTTACTGTCAAGGTCAATCAAAATCATAACTTTCACACTATAACGATCATACCCATCAGAAATTTGTCTTAAATCCCCTTCAGAAAAAAAAACATTACCTCATAAATCTTCCAGTCTTGCAGAGTGGTAAAGAAAAATAGGGCGGTTGGAAAAATGAGCCTGGTCCAACTCCTGAAGGAGCACCAGTTGCAGCTCCAAAGTGCAGGGGCTTACAAATAGTATGCCACAAGTATTGCCCAATAAGAACAGTGAGGTAATGCCCCCCCCCACCTTCTCACACACACACACACACACACACACACACACACACACACACAGACCAGTCAATACGCGCGCTCCCATCCCCTTAGCTGTGGGAGAGAAAAATTTTGGTTGTCATGCCTGGCAAGAATTTTTTTTTTTTTTATATCTTGAGAAATCTAATGCTCATAATAATTTTGTTCATACATTTTACACTGACAATATTGTCAAATAATAATATAGGCTTTTTTGACACTTAATAAAACAAACATGGAAATATTTAAAGCCACTCGACTGAGACCTTGCTAACGTGTTGGAATATCTTCACAGAGCAGTTGAAGCATGTACAAAACGGAGCAAAAACAAACACCTTTCCATGTTTTAAGATTACGGAACACTCATTTACATGATTCATCTATGTGTCATTTAGGGGCACCGGACCCCACAGCAGGGGCCAGCGTGGACGACGAGAATTGCTGGCATCTGGATGAGGAGCAGGTTCAGGAGCAAGTCAAGCTCTTCCTGTCCCAGGGAGGATACCACGGCTCGGGCAAGCAGCTCAACCTGCTCTTCAGCAAGGTCAACAACCGCCAGCGTTGTTCTTTCCACATGCACATCGCAACCACACGTACACAACGACACATTCAGTGCCCGACAGGCGGGCCTATACACGATTCTGCCCTCGGATTTTCCTTTTCACCGCAACAAGACAAATGTAGTCTCTACTCTGCATCTGGTTAATATTTTCCCTCTCTAGTGCACTTATACGCTCCTCATTTCCCTCCTGAGAGGAGACCTTTGTTCTCCACGTAATCTCCGACATACATTGGCACATGCATTAGAAGTGCCGCGCAGCCTCTTAGCTTGCGGCTAATTGCTGGAGGGAGGCAGTGAACGAAACATGCAGTATGGATATACACTCATGGGCCACGTCATTAGGTACACCTCCGCAATCCAATAAAATCCGGTAGGTCCATCAAACATTCTGCCATCACAAAGGTACCGCTTGGCTGCAAATACTGGAGTGGTCAGGGGTGTTTACTCAACTGCATGTGGAGGGGGTTGTTTTTTGAAACAATATTACAACAATAAAACAATGTATGTCAAGTGAAAGTACAGTTTATAAAAACATATTGAAAATAAATATTACGAAGATTTAAGTATCAAAAGTATCTAAAGAGTGGCATTACATTTCATCCGAGAGGTTTTAAATGCCTCCGGAGATGCCGCTGTTATGGTTGCGTTAAAATGGGTTCATCAGGTTATAGCAGTGAAATGTGCCTATAAGAACTGAGATCATAAAAGTCAAAGGGATGTTGAGAATGGCGTCTGTTATGATGCCGACGACGGACTTCATGAACGTGGCGTCCAGATCTCGCCGGCCTGGAAAGCGGAGGAGCCGACCGATGTGTCGCAGACAAGCGTGGTGTCTCGTAGCCGATTTTGAGTTGTAGCCCGTGTAGTGCGGTGTATGTGGTGCATTCTGGCGTGGTATTAGTAGTAGCAAAGGTGAGCTTAGCGTTAATGTGATGTGTACACTGTGTGAAGTCAGCAGAACAATACCATTAAGGTCCAGTCTGTCCGGCTCCACGCTCTCGTAATAGTGTTTATGTATCCACCCACAGTACACAGACACGCACACGCACACATTTATGTACACGGTAGAATTTGAAACATAATACGCACACAGATGAGAGGCAACACCTAGAATAAATGACACCGGTTCTCCTTTAGGCTGACATGTGAAATAGAGTGCAATTGTGCGTCGGCCGGCGTCCATAACAACTAGCGTGTGTCCCATGTTGAAATACGTCATCGGTATTCAATGCAACCTCTCACTCGGATGAATGCCCAACTTTCAAACCAGTCCCAGGATCGAAACTGCTTTGAATGGCAATCAGTCCCCCGCAAGTCGGCATCAGCGCAAGGACGCACAAAGTACTCGACACAACATTGGAGAGGACTAAAAGCCAGGAAGCTTGTCTCTACTTCTTTACATCATGTGACCATGGAAATGAATTGCTACAATTAGCAACCATGGAGACCATTTCAAAAGGCATCAGAAAATACAACGCATCAAAGAAAAATGTCTCAAAAATATCTCCTGAAAACATAATGCATCTTCTCCTCTGCTTTTGAGTCCCGTGAATGACTGGCCAAATCTTTAGCCGTATGAAAGTGAATGATACATACCACTCTTGTTACTTAGTTGGGCTACGTCCGGATTATTTGGCTTTGGTGAAGGCCAGCGTGCTCTACAAAGTACAATTGTAATTGTTGTTCCTGAACTATATTTGCAGTTGTTTGTCTGTTTCGTCTAATTTAGTTCAAGTGTCCATGAAATTACCTTTTTTTTAAGATGTTCACAATCCAGGATTTGTTGTCGTATCCACAATGTCAATATGTGTCTATACAGTGTGTGTGCATACTGACGGACCTCCCTATTGGCCCCTGTAGGTGCGAGAGATGCTGAAGATGCGTGACTCCAACGGAGCGAGGATGTTAACACTGATCACAGAGCAGTTCATGGCCGACCCTCGGCTGGCGCTGTGGAGACAGCAAGGCACCACCATGACAGACAAGTACAGACAGCTCTGGGACGAAAATTGTACGGGGCATGCACGCACACACACACACACACGCACGCACGCACGCACGCACACACACACACAGATTTCAACAAGGTGAATGATCGGAACCAGACAGTACCCAAAAGACACACGCAGATAAGTTTGTGTTTATCCCTTTGTTTTCAACAACACACACACAGACACAGAAAATCCAGTGCGAATATTGGCCACATAACAGATAACAAACCTGGCCGAGATGCAGAAACATGGTCCACAAACATGGCCAAGATGCTGCAGCACACTCACCCGACATGGCTAACATTTTGCAACGCAATCCTCTGACAGGGCCGCAATGCGTTTGAAAAATCAGTTTGGCATTCTGGAACAAACGCCGCTAACATGGTTGCAACACACTCCACAATAATGATTGCAACATACTCCACAAATGTGGCTGGAATACATTGCTACACTTCACAAACGTCGCCAACACATGACGACATACTCCTCCAACCTGCCTTGCACACTCTAACCTACTCCACAAACCTGGATGACAAGCTTTGACACATTTCCCAAAATGGATGACATGCTCAAACACGTCACAAACATGGCCGCAAAACTGTCCGCAAACATGGGCGACATTCTCTAACACACTCCACAAACATGCCGAAACACATGGCGGAAACATCGGCAAGACACTTCGACACAATTCTTAGCTCAGACATGAGCTACATTTCTAATATGCTACTCAAACATGTCCCACATACCCTAACGCACACCTCAAAGATGGCCGATTTACTAAAATCTTGTGCACTCGCTCAGTGTGAAAGGGTTGCACAAAGTCCATGACGTCTCGGCGGCCATCTTGGCCATATTTGGAAGTGCTGACGTAGTAGCCTACCAGGAAGTGAACACAGAGACTTTTGCCGCCTGTTTCGACGAGAAGTAGACAGCACCTCGGCAAAATGTATCTTTCATAATGGCAAACAAGCCGTTGCTTTTCACATTTTAAGAAGTAGGAGGGCACGAGCAGCAAAAAAGGGGACAGGTACATCCTTTACAAAGGGCTCAGAGGGAACTTGGAGAGTTTAATCTCATTCGTGAGCGGCAGTTCCACCCTGAGCGCTTCGAGGTGCATTTCAGGCTGTGCTCATAGCAGCGCCTTCTTAAACCCATCACTGTATATTCATCACTACACTCTGCTAAGTGCAGCGTGAAAAGGGCTGTACATTCCACAAACACGATCAACACGCGGGAAGAGACTCTTCAAACATGGCCGACATACGCTAACATACTCCATAAACATGGCTGACGTATTCCGTTGTAAGCATGGTCATTTTCCATGAAAAAAACGCTCTTATTTTGACAGAATTTCAAAGTGGTTAGCTGAGCACTCTTTGCGTTTGATGCCGTGTCGTCTTGTGACAGACGACAGGGCAGCCGCCATGTTGTCTCCAGCCTTTGTTGTCTTCCCTGTCTTCGCCGATGCCTCTCGCACTGTTGACAACCTTGTCTCTTCTCCCTTTTCCTCTCGTCATGCACTTTTTGCTTGGACAGCCCAACGAACTCATCTGTTTCTTCGCCACGTATTCCCGGAATTGGACGCGTGCGTCGGCTCTCTTCTTTTTGAAGTCGACACTTCAAACCCTTCTTCTCGAGTCCTTATCACTCCCCGTGATGTGCGCTCAATGCCGCCCTGCTCGCCTCTTTTCTCTCCCTCTCTCCTTCATCGTCACTCTTTTGTCTTCGCCTCCTTTTGAGGCTGCGGCTCCTCGTCTACCTCCAGACACAAAGCCGAGCGTCCTCGTCCGCATCAGCTCATTTTCCATGTCGTACTTTTTTTTTTTTGTCCACATTTCTTTATGTTCACCCCCATTTTCTTAATTTTTTTTTTTTTTTTTTACCTCCTTCACATCTTGTCCTTGTCTTCGCCCTTTCTCCCAAACCCACCCCTCAACTTCTATCCACACACAATGGAGCGTGCTACGCAGTCTGCACAGTAAAATCCCCGAATGTGCTCCCATCCCATGAGACTGAAGCATTTCTTTTTAATATTCTGTTTGTTCCAATTTGCTCCAAAATGATGTGTGCACAGTTTGCGTTGCCTCGGGACTAGTTAAGATCTTTCACGTACTTTTTTTGTGGGGTACAAAATGTGCTCCAGGGGGAAAACGTGAGGGCGCTCAGACTGCTGCACTTCTTTGAAAGACACCCTCAAGATGCATATAAAAAGTCTACACACCCCTGTTCAAATGATAGGTTTTTTTTTTTAATGTCATTCAAAAAAATTGAGACCATGATAAATGATTTCCAAACTTTTTTTCTCCATTAATTTGGGTTATAATCTGCATATTGAGAAAAAAAAATGTTTTGGACAGGTTCATTAAAAATAAACAACTGATCATGTGGTTGCACAAGTGTACACACCCTCTTATAACTTGCAATGTTCAGAATAAACCATTTACATTTGACTTCATTTATGACTGATCGGCCCGATCTTTCCAGTGTAAAGCTCCAATGTGTCCCTTGAGCACAAAACTTTGCCCTCCCCTGGGCTAAAGCCTCCATGTTTTGGTGTCCACCAGGTGCCCTGTGGATGTGCATCGTACTGAACCCGCACTGCAAGGCGGAGCAAAAGTCATCCTGGTTGCGGCAGCTGCGCAGGTGGAACAGCGTGGACGTGTGTCCGTGGGAAGACGGAAACCACGGCAACGAGCTGCCCAACCTCACCCACTCGCTCCCACAGGGTGCCCACAGCAACCAGGGTCAGTGTTGCACACGGGTCTTTTTCACGTGTCATTTTCGTTATTCTCGAATTCCTGACGCCGATAAGTACGGCCGTCATCCTTCCTCGCAGAGATGCGGCCCCACAGGACTGTTTTCACGCGGGCCATCGAGGCCTGCGACCTGCACTGGCAGGACCGCCACCTCCAGCACATCATCGCCAGTGACCTCTACGCCAACTACTGTTACCACGACAACCAGGAGGGCTCACTGTTTGACGCCCGCGGCTGGCCCTTGTGGCACGGTGAGTGAAGAAGATAGAATCACGGCAGATGCAATAGACGTTGCCATAAACTTGTCTCTCTCTCTCTTTTTCATTTTAAGAACACGTCCCGACAGCCTGCGCCAGGGTGGATGCCCTACGGTCCCACGGTTACCCACGAGAAGCACTCCGCCTGGCCATCGCCGTTGTGAACACGTTACGGCGGCAACAGCAGCGGCAACTCGAGCACTTCCGCCGGCATAAAAAAGGTGAGGCTCCGTTTTCAGTCCATGTGGAATATTCTATCCTCCTGTGTTGTATGCTGATAAATGTATTGTTTGTCTCAGAGTTGCTCCATAAAGGCCACACTTCAATTACCAACATGGAGGGCTGGGTGGGACACCCACTGGATCCCATCGGCACCCTCTTCAGTACTCTGACAGAGTCGGGACGGGTGGGAGAGGAGGGATCTAATACCTGCTTGGATCTCTCAGGTAATGCAAATGACAGCGCACGTACATGTGGCTCGCGAGCCGCGGGTTGGCCACCACTGATTCAAAGTGTCCAATATGAATCTGATCACCATCTCCCCGCCCTTGCCTCTCCACAGACTGCTCCAGTGTGGTGACTCGTGCGGACCTCCAGCGAATGCCCGTCCAGAGACTGCTCGGCGACGGCGAGTCGTACGTGGCGCTGGCGGTGGAGACGGCCCTGATGGGCCTGGGCCAGCAGCGCGTCATGCCCGACGGCTTGTACGCTCAGGAGAAGGTGTGCCGCAACGAGGAGCAGCTGCTGGCCAAGCTTCAAGAAGTAGAACTGGACGATTCGCTGGTCAAGATCTTCCGCAAGGAGGCCGTCTTTCTGCTCGAAGGTAGGTGGGATTGGTGGGCTTGGAATAATGAGTGTGTGTGTTTCTGCATAGTGAGACATTACCACTCAGCAAAAAACACATCCACACGCTCAAGCAGCTGCACATTCACTGCGACTGTCTCACTACAGTGGAAGTGTGCCTTTTAAGGGGCATGGCCTAGTTAGGGACATCCGTCGCTGCTTGTGAGTGTTCTCAATTTTTATTTGTGTGTTTGACTGTTTGTCCCGTTCAATAAATAGCTTAAATTGCATTGGCGACGGTGACTTTTTTTTTCCCCACTTCACACGGGAGGCAGCTCACTTAGTTTGGCTTGCAGCAGAAAAAAAAAATCAACCGAGAAACACCTCAAGTCAAGGTCCCGCTGTATTATTTTTTTTTATCCTTTCATTTTGTGGTGGCAAATAGAGACTGAGCTGACCAAAATGAACTCTTTTGCTTCGCAACACCCGGCCCATTGTGTCAGGGCGCACACACACACATGCACAAATATACAACAGTGTGTTCATTTACAGTGCAAAATGCCACGACAGGGAGGAGACAAAATTCGACTCCCGTCTCCACCCAAACCGCCATCAGCATCCAAACCGGGACCTGGTGCGACCACCCACCTCTGGCTCTGTTTCTAATAGAAAGCGCCAGCCCCCCCCCCACACCCCAGTGGGTCCATGGAGGCCGCAACCCCGCCACCTTGTGATGTGGTCTGTGGTCGAGGGGGTTTAAAATAACCCACCAGAGACAACGGCGTGGGGTGGGACATGAGCGAAAGTGGAAGGCCAAGCACGAGCATATGGTTTTTGACATCATTGTTTGTTTAAACACCACGTGGTCAAAACGGTGAGACCACTGTATGACTACGTCCATGTGGATTTTTTACTATTTTCAAACACAGTATTTTCTCACTACAGGGTTAAAAATATCTCAACCCACGTGAAAACACATCACACATGGTGCTCTATCATTGAACCTTTCGGCCATTTTAGCCAATCAGAAACCTGAAGAAACTCCGGAACTCAAATACGTAATATAGTCAAATAATGTGAAAGTAGACAATGAGCAGGTATGAATTTTTCGCCCCCCCACCAAAAAAAAAGTACACTTGTGTGCATGTCACCACTGTTCTCATCTGGCTTTCCTCCGGCTTCCTCCCACATCCAAAGACATACATGTTGAGTTGATTGAAGACGCCATGTTGGCTGTGTGTGTGTAAATATGAGTGTGAATGGAAGTTTGTCTCCATGTGCGCTGCGATTGGCTGGCAACCAGACAAGGGTGTACCCACCTTTCACCCAAAGTCAGCAAAAACCAATAAACGCATTCACATTTTTGCGGTAAAAGGGGAAGTCAACCCAAACATTTTCTTTCCAAGAATATGTTCTGTGCAGCCCCACTTGTCTAAACACGGCCTTCTGATTAATGTTGCGTTTGTGCAATATGAGTTAAATCCACCCGTTTTTGTCCGTCTCAGGGGGCGGCCATTTTGCCACTTTTTGTCTCTGGAAAATGACATCACAGTTGCTCAGGGCTCAGGTAACGACCAGTTATGGCTTAGCTTCAGAAAACTGGTGAGCCATGATTTGACTTGAGCCCTCGTCAACTGTGATGGTCATTTTCATTTGAAAGAAAGTAGCACAATGGCCGCCCCCTGAGATGGCTAAAAATGTTGCTGCTAAACTCATTCCACAAACGCAATATGAATCAGAATGCAGTGTTTAGACAAATGAGCATATTATTGAATTGATTTTTGGGCGGGGACGGTCAATCACAAGCACTTTAAATAGTGCCAGGTGTGTGCTGACTCCCATTTAACATGAAGAAATATTATTAATTATTAATGATGGTTTTGAAAACATGTATCATGGTCCATTTTTGTAATACCTGTATTTCTGCAGAGTGTATTATAGCCCCTGGTCATGGGCTAATAAAATAGTTTCGGATTTCGAACAAATCGCTTTTCGAACAGCCTTCTGGAACGTGTATAGGCTTTTTTATATTCACATAAAAACAATGGTGAAACATTACATATTATCCAACTTTATAAATGCAAGTAGCGTTCCAACAATTGACAGTTAAAAGGGATGTGTGATGTCATAAAAAGGAGACAATCCAGAGTGTTTACCCAGTATTGGGGGAAAAAAAAACTGTATTTGCATTCGCATACAGTAGCTAAATAAGCACTGTGCTTTCCATTGGGTCCACGCAGCTGGTCCGTACTCCGGCCTTGGGGAGATCGTCCATCGAGAGAGCGTCCCCATGCACACCTTCGCCCGTTATCTCTTCACCTCCCTCCTACCTCATGACGCTGAACTGGCGTACAAAATTGCACTGAGAGCCATGCGGTAGGTGATGCACCACACACAGACACACACACACACACACACACACACAGTTTTTTTTTTGTTGTTGTTTTTTTTTAAAGCTGCCTCTGTTTTTCTCTTGAGCAGACACAAAACAATTCTCACCTACTGACATACTCTCTATTTGGGGAGAGGGCGATGGTGAATGATTGAGAGCTAGACTTTGGGGACATTGAATGCACACAAGCATGAATATTAAGCACGTAATCTGTGCTGAGTCATCACCAAACAAATCAGGGGGCCGTTGAGCAGAGGAGCACTGCTCTCTGGTGACACAGCTGCGTCGTTATCCACTCCACGAGCTGACTGTATCATATACACACGCACGCACGCACGCACGCACAGACGCGTGCATAAAGTGTAAAGTCAGAACAAAGCTGGTAAAGGCAAGAAATGGGGCAACTTTGAAGAGGAAATAATATTAAATGTGCAATTATTATACCTGATGATTGTTACACTTTTAATTTCCTGTGCGCCCAACATTTTTTTTAATAGGTTCTAATTCTGACATTATTTCCTATTTACACAGCCGTCTTTGAACAAAACATAATTACAGACGACTGTTCAACAAATACAGGATGACTTTTAGGGGAGCCTGCATGCACAACAGTTCACGGTGGGCCGCACGTGCGCATGCCAAGGGCCTGCAGAGCGCACGGCTGGCGGAGTGCGCTCAGCCAGAGTAGGTTTGTGTCAGACAGACAAGTCTGCAAGGCTGTAACGTGTTTTGCCATCACCGCTTTGAATTCGTCTTTTACGCTGCGACCTGATTAGCGCAGGCTCATTCCAAGTTCACTTTTCAGCAACTTGCTAATACAGCAAGGTAGTTAGTTGAATGCCGTAAAGAACGAAGGCAGGTGAGAATAAAATGGTGCAGAGCAGACAGTTTTTCAGTGTCAAAGATGCTGCTGAGGTAGAAGCCAGCAGAAATGGCAAAATTAGCTCTAGCAGGCCAAGCATTTCTTTTGCATATGATTAGGCAACACTTTTTGATTAATGTTAAAATCTAGCACTTTAGTCCTCGTCTATTGCATGATTGATTCTTGTTGATGCTCACCATCAGAAAATATTGAAGTCTCTCTAACCTGACTTTGTGATTCGGTAACATTGCACTCAAACATTTGATTTGTTGTGTGTGTGTGTGTGTGTGTGTGTGTGTGTGTGTGTGTGTGTGTGTGTGTGTGTGTGTTGGCCTTCGTCCTGCTCGTGCCTGTGTGTGATCTCTCTATTTTGGGTCTCGTGTGTGTGTGTGTGTGTGTGTGTGTGTGTGTGTGTGTGTGTGTGTGTGTGTGTGTGTGTGTGTGTGTGTGTGGACAATGTGTGTTAATCAGACTGCGCTGCTGTGTTTTGATGTTGTGACTCACGGGACCTGGATCAGTGAATATTAATTACATTAATGAGAGTGTAATTAGTGTGGCTGTAATTAGGAGGAGGGGGCACACACACACACACCCACACACACACACACACACACACACACACACACACGGGTTTGTATGCAAAGGGGACAGCAGAAACTGAGAAGTGGGGGGTGGGGGGTCTGTGAAAGATTTCTTGATTGAAGTGGGCTTTTCCCACTTTTTACTGGGACAGCGAACGCACCACACTCGGATGAATTCAAGGTTAGTCAAGCGCTCCGCTCACCACCGAAGCCTCCCCAAACTTTTCCCGGAGTCAGCCTCCCTCACTTGTTACGCCTCCGTACGCCCCGCTGTGGTACGAAACAGGCCGATTTAGAATAATACGGGCCACTTATGGGTGCTCCTGGGAGCCCGACGGTGTCTACTCAGCACATAATGAATGTGTGTAATGTAGCGTAGTGTAATACGAGAGCGTATAGCTCACCGCTCCCACGGGGACGGTGGACAGTTAAATATAGGGGAGAAGGTAAAGGAGCCAGGGCTATTTTAATGGTCCCATTATAACGTTATCATTGATACACGCAGAGAGGGGAAAAAGTGAGAGAGAGCGAGAGAAAGAGAAAGAGAGAGAGACCTTTTCACATTCCATGCTCTTTGTGTTTCTCAGGGCTGCTTCGCTGTAGCCTTTTAATCACGTGAGTAATGAGATGGCAGCGAGAGTACATACCAACATTTGACGTCTGAAATACCCTTAATCAATTTAGACACAATTTAACATTTTTCTCACTGTAAAGTGGCACCACCTACTGAAAAAAAAAACCCATATGTAATTATTTTTCTATGAAAATATATAAAAGTCAATATTACATTTGCATATGTGCTGCTGCAGTTAAGTTGTGCTTTTAATCATCGTTTTTAAAGATACTTTCATCCTAAACTGTACAAGTGGCGCCGGCAACCCCAGCGTGGACAGACCAAAAAGCAAGGCGGAGCTCGCTGGTTGATTCGTGAGTGTGCGGGACTTGAAATTGAAAAATTTAGTAGGGGAGAAGATGAAGAAGGAGCAGAATCTTGTTGCTCTTGCACATTTTTCCTTATCTCCACCCCAACGAAGCCCAGTAGTTGAATCCGAAGCGCCTGGTATTATCATACGAGATTTCCATAGGCGATACGAGACTTGCAATGCTAATGAAGCGAGATCCTCGCTATAATCCACAACCTTTGATCCGCCGCATAATCTCTGCCGACGCAGCACTGTTTATGCTCACGTTGCGACAATGTGAAAGCAATGACATTGGCTTTAAATTGGGCCAGGCACCTCATGATGTTTTCCTCTTTTCAAAGTAAAATGTTCAGAACAGCGCCGCTATAGATTGCGCAGGAGTCCCTAATAAAGTGTCCCATTTGAACCCTCTGTAACATTCTGCAAAGTGAACAGAACTGACAGTCCCAGTGGCATCCCGACGCGGTTTATGTATGGACGTGGCTCTTGTCAGCGGATATGCGGCTTAGCTGATGGATGAGCGCTCGAAGAGTGACGAGGGCCGAAGGGTGTTTACAGTCGAGATGAGGAAAGGACCGTGACACATGGGAGGGTTGGTCGTCATGGTGATGCTGACCAGATACCTCATCCGGGGACCTCGGGATCAGAAGTAAAACCGTGATGTGCTAGGGGGAGGTTTCGGTGTTTTTGTACATGTTTGTTATTTTTGTGGCTGACATGGCTTAAAATTAGCTTGTTTTTGTGTTGTTTTTTTTTTTAAGTACAATGATACAACCGCTATTTTGTCCGTTATATTTGCAATCCCCTGTCTGTTTAAATTTGTTTGATGAAACGTGCAAAGAAATCAGGACGGAGGCAAACCGATTTTCACACCACCGTAGGTGTGAATGTGAGTGCGAATGGTTGTTTGTTTTATAGGAGCCCTGCGATTGGCCGGTAGCTAGAGACAGGGTGTGAACCTGCCTCCCCACCGCCTATAGTCCGCCGGGATGGGCTCTGGTTCACAATTGACTCGAAAGCACATTAGAAAGTGGATGGATGGATAGACGTTGCTCAGAGATGTTTTCTATGCAGCCATTTTGCATCCCACAGTCGGGGGCCTACTGTACTTGTGCTTGAGTGAATGCTTGCACAACAGTCCTTGGAAAGGATACGGAACAACAAAAGCCCAGGATGAATTTCCACCCCCAACACGTTGAGGAGGTTAATTTTCAACGGTCCCGGTCGCCCTCTTGAGCTCCCATCCAGCAGAGGCCCTCTGGCTCTCTCTGGTGCAAACCAAACAAAACGTGGAATGTTGATGAGGCCTCCATTTTTTTTTTTTTTTTTCCCCGGGGCCCTTTTTTTTTTCTTTTGCTCAACCCAGGGCTCCTCCAGGCTTAAAATTAGCTTGTTTTTGTGTTGTTTTTTTTTTTTAAGTACAATGATACAACCGCTATTTTGTCCGTTATATTTGCAATCCCCTGTCTGTTTAAATTTGTTTGATGAAACGTGCAAAGAAATCAGGACGGAGGCAAACCGATTTTCACACCACCGTAGGTGTGAATGTGAGTGCGAATGGTTGTTTGTTTTATAGGAGCCCTGCGATTGGCCGGTAGCTAGAGACAGGGTGTGAACCTGCCTCCCCACCGCCTATAGTCCGCCGGGATGGGCTCTGGTTCACAATTGACTCGAAAGCACATTAGAAAGTGGATGGATGGATAGACGTTGCTCAGAGATGTTTTCTATGCAGCCATTTTGCATCCCACAGTCGGGGGCCTACTGTACTTGTGCTTGAGTGAATGCTTGCACAACAGTCCTTGGAAAGGATACGGAACAACAAAAGCCCAGGATGAATTTCCACCCCCAACACGTTGAGGAGGTTAATTTTCAACGGTCCCGGTCGCCCTCTTGAGCTCCCATCCAGCAGAGGCCCTCTGGCTCTCTCTGGTGCAAACCAAACAAAACGTGGAATGTTGATGAGGCCTCCATTTTTTTTTTTTTTTTTTACCCGGGGCCCTTTTTTCTTTGCTTTGCCGCACCCCAGGAATCTTCCAGAAGGGCCCCCAGTGTGGCGCAGGCTTGAAGCGACTGTTTTTGGGATGGCGTGAGAGGAAGGAACCCGGCTGTTGATTGACCACCTAGGAAACAAAACAAAAAAAAAAAAAATGCAATTTTTCCAGCAAGTGAAAATGTTCACACTGTTGCATGTATCTCAACATGGGTTATATCACCTCCTGCTGGCGTGTGTGAAATTTTAAAACAACACTTGCAAATGTACTCTCAGGCAAGGCAAGGCAAATTTATTTATGTAGCACATTTCATATACAGTATACACACGGCAACTCGGTGTCCTTCACACAAAGCAGAGACGCAACACCTGAAAGCATTTATAAACACAACAGTTAACACGCAGAAGCAAAGCATTCGGTGACTTTATAAAACAGTAGCAGAATTTTATGATCTATTCTACAGCTGATTGGGAGCCAGTGCAAAGCCTCGAGGACTGGAGTAATACGGTATGTTCTGATCTCTTTGTTCCGGTCAGAACTGAGCTGCAGGCAAATTATAATGGCAAAGTGCACTGCTAATAGATTCTATGCAGGTGTTCACTGTCTGTCTCCTTTATTAGAACAATGGCAACTGTTCCTGGAAAAAAACATTTCCCAGCAAGTATTTTTTTTCCCAGTAGCATATACCAGCAACAGGGTTGTTCTCGCCTTCCCACTTGAATGCAGAAGTTAGTTGTTGTGCACAAAGTGGGGTGGTTTGGAACGTGCCTTCATACCGGACATCGTCACACGCGGTGGAATTGAAAGTTGGCATTTAGCATCGCATTGCTTTTACCAAGCTGCTTTGATGTGTTCCAAAAGGGCAGGTTTGTGTGTGTGTGTGTGTGTGTGTGTGTGTGTGTGTGTGTGTGTGTGTGTGTGTGTGTGTGTGTGGCGGTATTTGTTTGATGTGTGTCCAGCCCCTGTGCGGCTGGAAGGTGAATCGCTTAATTTCCCCACGGACTCAATTAGCTTTGTGATTGGTGGAGAGGAGGCCAGGTTGCTGCCTTGTGAAGCGGACGAGACCTTTTGAAAAGTGAGCCGTGGCGCAAGCGTGAAGCGGAATAGGAGATGAGGCGCCGCAGAATACTCGGCCCCCCCCACCCCCCACCCCTCCGTGTTGCCGTGACGATGATGAGGATGACGGGAGGGTCAGGCTCCTCTGTCCGCAGCAGGTGTTGCTTGGCTCTGAGCTGATTGGGAGAAATTAGAGTGGAGAAAGTAGTCATTGATGCTCGGTCGCTCGCTCAACTTGAGGGGGAATTGCAGGCACAGGCTAACTGTGATCAAATCACGCTTTCATTTTCAAGTCCCTTTCAAAGTCTTCACGTGTTTCCTCTTGTGATTCATATTCCGGCCAGCCCGCATCCATCAGATATGCTTTATATTTAATACATAGTTCTCCAGATGTAATATAAACTTCTCTTGTAATTTGTAAAAGTCGTGCGTCTCTCGTGAGTCTGATAGTCTGTTCCTGCTGGCTCTCTGTTTCCCTCTGACTTTCTGGGCCTCCACTCTGTTCCACTGATTTTGTGCTCCTTCTCATGCCAGATCTCCATTTCCCTTTGAGTTTCTGTTCCTGCTACTGCTCACTGTTTTGCTGTTCCAAATGGCTCGCTTTGTTTCCTTCGGAGTTCCTGATGCTGATGGCTCTACCTGTGTTCTTCTGAATTTCTGTTCCTGTTCCCGCTGGCTTTCTCTGTGGCCTTCTAGATGACTCTTCCTGCTGTCACTCACTGTGTCCTTTTGAGTTCCTGTTCCTGCTGGCTCCCACTATGTCCTTCTGGTTCCTGTTCCTGCTGGCTCACTCTCTTTGGCCTTCTGAATTTGTTGTCGTTCTCGTGCTGTCTCTCTCAGTTAACCTCTTTGAGTTTATGTTCCTGCTCCTGCTGGCTCCGTTGCTGTTCCTGCTGGCTGTCTCTGTTTCCTTCCAAGTTGCTATTGTTAAGTGGCGTTCTCTGTGACCTTCTGAATTTCTGTTCCAGATGTCTCTGTGTCACTGTATTCTTGTGAGTTCCTGTTCCTGTCCCCGCTGGTTCTCTCTGCAACCAGTTTTTGTTTTGTTCCTGCTGGGTCTTAACTGTTTCCTTTGGAGTTACCGTTCCTGTTTCTGTTTTCTGTCTCTGTCATTGAAGCTGCCTCATAAATTTGCCGTAGCACCGAGTGGTTGTGCATGACCAGGACTAAGTAACCTGAATAAGCTCATTTTTTTCTTCTTCTGTCAGCTCTATAAAATATGATTCATGCAGTGGACTATCTGTCAATTTTCAATCTTTTCCATGTATTTCATATTGAATATAGAATACAGTCATTTCATTGCAAAATCCATCTTCTGTGGTAATTGATTTCACGTGTCTTGATTTCTTGTTCCTATTTCTCTTTCCTATCCAGAGGCAGTGCACCTACTGCACCCTGGTGTGCTGAAATTCATTCTGTTCATATATTTTACTTTTTTTTTTCATGGGACGACACTAAGAGAGTAACGCGTGACAACTTGTGCAATAGTGCAAATTTATTGTCCCTTCAAAATAACTCCACACACAACCATTCACGTCAAAACAGCCAGCAACAAAAGAGATTAGACACCAAGTGAAAATACCCTTTGTGATCTCATAATGTGATTTCGTCACCCCCACCCCACCACTCAGGTTGCCCGTGTTGGAGTCAACAGCATCGTCCGGCGACCTGTCCCGGCCTCACCACATCGTGTCGGTGGTGCCCAACCGCTATCCGCGCTGGTTCACCCTCAGCCACATCGAGTCTCAGCAGTGTGAGCTGGCCTCCACCATGCTCACCGCCGCCAAAGGTGCGCACATCAGCACACACCTAAACACTTATACGGTTTTGATTAATCGAGTTTCAAACACTATCAATTCATTTGATAATCGATTTCTTGGTGATTAAGTCATTGCTTAATGGTTGCAACTGTCCTCGTCCTTACTGGAGCCGCGGTTGTGCCCACCTGTGTTGTAGCTCAGCCTAAAGGTGTTCAGTTGTTCATTTGGGTTCTTTTGATGTCTCAGGTGACAGTCGCAGGCTGGAGACGGTGCTGGAGTCCATCCAGAAAAACATCCACTCGTCGTCTCACATCTTCAAACTGGCGCAGGACGCGTTCAAGATCGCCACTCTGATGGACAGCCTGCCCGACATCACGTTGCTAAAAGTTGCTCTGGAGCTCGGACTGCAGGTAACTGAGGCGCTCAACGTCATTTTGGCTCCGCCCGCTTCATTACAACACCAGAGGACCAAAAATAATTTTGAGTCTTAAGTCTCTATAGTTCATTCTTGTTACCTTATTTAGCAACTCTTTACGCATTCTTGTTTTGGTTATGATCAGGTGATGAGAATAACACTGTCCACATTGAACTGGAGGCGGCGGGAAATGGTGCGCTGGTTAGTCACATGTGCCACCGAAGTTGGTAAGTGAGCTCGCTGACTTTTGTCTCTACATTGTCCTCATTTGAGTAGCGTTTTGTACAAGACCGCGAATGCCAAACTTCATTCGATATGGTACCACTCAATTCGACAGGGTGTGATGCAATGACTTTTTTTGTAGGCATTTTACATAAATGTGAATGAGCCTGTCAGTACCATAAATATACCATTTCCTTCTAAGATGTTTACCTCTTCAATAGTCGATATACTCCAAGGTGGAACGATTTGGTTATATTTTATTTGTTGCGCTTGCATATTTTAAATTTTTAAAATACATTTTCTGATTCTGTGTGTGTGTGCGTTGTCTGTTTGCGTCAGGCGTGTACGCACTGGACAGCATCATGCAGAGCTGGTTCACCCTGTTCACCCCCACCGAGGCCACCAGCATCGTGGCCACCACGGTCATGTCCAACAGCACCATCGTGCGCCTGCACCTGGACTGCCACCAGCAGGAGAACCTGGCCTCGTCGGCGCGCACCCTGGCCCTGCAGTGCGCCATGAAGGACCCCCAGAACTGCGCCCTGTCGGCTCTGACGCTCTGCGAAAAGGACCACATTGCCTTCGAGACAGCCTACCAGATTGTACTGGAGGCGGCCGCCACGGGGATGAGCTACACGCAGCTGTTCACCATCGCGCGCTACATGGAGCACCGCGGCTACCCCATGCGCGCGTACAAGCTGGCCACGCTGGCCATGGCGCACCTCAATCTCAGCTACAACCAGGACACGCATCCGGCCATCAACGACGTGCTGTGGGCCTGCGCGCTCAGCCACTCGTTGGGCAAGAACGAGCTGGCCGCTGTCATCCCCCTGGTGGTGAAGAGCGTCAAGTGCGCCACCGTGCTGTCGGACATCTTGCGCCGCTGCACGCTGACCACGCCGGGCATGGTGTCGGCGCTGCACAGCCGGCGGAACTCGGGCAAGCTCATGTCGCTGGACAAGGCGCCGCTCAGGCAGCTGTTGGACGCCACCATCGGGGCCTACATCAACACCACGCACTCGCGCCTCACGCACATCAGCCCTCGCCACTACAGCGAGTTCATCGAGTTCCTGGGCAAGGCGCGCGAGACCTTCATGATGGCGCACGACGGACACATCCAGTTCACGCAGTTCATAGACAACCTGAAACAGATCTACAAGGGCAAAAAGAAACTCATGATGCTGGTGAGGGAGCGCTTCGGCTAAGCTCCGCTACTTTTCTACCAACTCGAGTCTGCCTTTTTTTTTTTTTTTTTTTTTTTTTTTGGGAACTTCCGGGGAAGAAAAAGAAAAAAAGAGAGAGAGAGAAAGGACGTCGAAATGAAGCGATGAAGCGGAAAAGGAAAAACAAACAAACTCCACAGAGCCACACGCGGTATTATTGTTCTTGCTGTTGTTCTCGTTACAAACATTATTGCTATTATTATTATTGATAATAATATTATTACTACTATGTGTACAGAAGTGTTTTATTTTTTTTTCACGAGAGAGGAAATTCGTCACGTTGTGAATGTTGTGTGTCTGCGTGCGTATGAAAGGAGAACGACGTTTTTGTTTTGAAACATTGTTTTTTTTTTCTCTGTTAAGTTCTACAGGTGCATCTTAGTACACAAGAATAGCCGCGAAAATGTTCATGTAGTTCAGGAGTTCAGTTCAAAAAGTCCATTCTAGAATTCACGACACAGAATGAAATATTTCGTGAAATATATTTTAGGTAAGAAACAGTCCAGGAATTGGCCGAGCAAGCTACCGAGGGTCCTGTAGTATTGATTGCCTCAATCACTCATTTTTTGAAAATAGATTTTTTTTTTTTATATAAACAATACAATGAAATGTACCTTACTAAATAATTGGTTATGTAATTACTTAAAAATTTGAATGATTTAAATTATTAAAGTTAACAATGTTACATATTAAAATTAAAAATTTTAATAATCTTATTTTGACATAATTGCCCATCCTGTTTTTCTGTTTTACCGTATCCAAAAATGACATGGCCCAAATCTGTCCATTAAAAAGTGAAGAGGAACTTTTTGAATTGAACTTCCTGAACGTTTCTACCATTTTCCAGTGTGTTGAGATGCACCCGTATGTGGCTGAAGGCCCTCCACAGTAGCGCTCGTGTTATTAAAAAGAACGAAACAAAAAAATTCGCATCCTCGGAAGACAAACTAAGGCTTTAAAATCACACACAGAGCACCTCCTCTTTGTCCCCCGGACCCCTCCAACGGGGGGCACCAGGCAGCACTGCACAGTTAAAAAACGCCGCCATCAGCATTTTCGCAGCACTTGAGCAGCCATTAGTTTTCTCTCAGCGCCAATACGGACGACCGTGCGCTTAGCACACACCTGTGTAATGTGATGCATGCGGCCATGGCGCATTCGACTATAATCCAACCTGCATTCGATTTTAACACTCGGTACACTTGCATAATCCGATAGGAGAGCGCTAGCGAAATTCCAGACTTTGTTGGGATGGATGATATCAGAGGGATATTTTTGCAGCTTGTCGACTGCATTTGACTTAGCTGTTTCGAATCATCTTGGGGTCATTCGAGTTTTTCCAAATGAAAACTGGAAAATAAATTTGGACATATGTGCTTTTCATTGGAGGCGATAACCTCGAACGATGTTATGCGGGTAGTGCTATTAACCTAATGAGTGTGAAAAGCATCAAGGAATAATCCGATTGGATGTTGAGGGCATCTGTTTGTTGCCATTTTCTGTCACAAAAAAGAAAGAAGGAAAATAATAATTCACCTGTTCAGAACAATGTGCTCGGTTCTTATTATTCTTACGTTAGTCACAAATTAGAAGCATTAGTCTGTAAATGTTTTGTTTTTCGACAAAACATGTTACCTGCAGGGCGGCACGTTGGGTGACTGGTTAGCACGTCGACCTCACAGTGCAGAGGTGCAGGATTCGATTCCGGCTCCGGCCTTCCTCTGTTGTGGAGTTTGCATGTTCTCCCCGTGCCTGGGTGGGTTTTCTCCGGGTACTCCGGTTTCCTCCCACATTCCAAAAACATGCTTGGCAGGTTCATGAAACACTCCAAATTGTCCCTACGTGTGAGTGGTTGTTTGTCTATGTGTGCCCTGCGATTGGCTGGTAACTAGTTCAGGGTGTCTCCCACTTATTGCTCAAAGACAGCCGGGACAGGCTCCAGCACGCCCCGTGACCCTTGTGAGGACAAAGTGCATCGGAAAATGGATGGATGGATGTTACCTGCAAAAAAAAAAATACAGTATGCCCTCTCTTGAATGTGAGCAGCATAGGTGTTGTCATGATGCTGTAAGTATGCTGTAGTCATGCCTGGGGGCCTCCTTTCCCGGCGCAAAGAATCTTGACTTTGATTGTCTTGTAGAAAACATTTAATGTTTCCGTTTTGAAGAGGGATTTTGACTGAGAACCGTACAATAATCATCTACCTGTTCCAAAACAATCAACACATTTGTTTATTGATAGTACCACTGAGCTGTCAAATGAAAAGCATGTATCTCCGCTATTCTTTTTTTATTTTTTTTTAATTCTTGAGAACCCAACATCAGTTTATGCAAGTTTTCTAAAATCATTCACACAAACAAGAAATCAGCCATTGTTCACCTTTCAATCTGTTTCACATGGAAAAAAACAAAACTTTTTGACGTGTTCATGAAAAGTGAGCATAAGGATGTTCGTGTTGGACTGTCTCGATGTCCTATTGTTATGCCCAATGAGTAGAGCTGCGCTGAAGGGGGAGCGACTACCTCATTGCTGCAGTGTGGAACCTGCTCCCAGCGGAAACGTGCTGCCACAAAGGAGATTTGTGGCACATAATATAACAGACAGTGTTTGTCAATCGCTCTTATTCCTGCCCTCCGATTGGCTACAAGCATGCGCGTCACTCACTCCCATTTCATTTCCGCCATGTTTTTTTTTTTGCCACCCCACCCCATTTCTTTAATAGGCCAGTGTCATTCATTTCCCTGTGTGTGTGTCATTGCAATGAGACTTTGTACTGTTGAGAGAAAAAAAAATGTGTGCAAGCTCCGCTAATTGTCCACCGGAACGTTCTCAGGGATTTCTTCTTTTCCTCCACAAGAAAAAAAAAAAAAGGCGGAACAAAACCAACGACTGACTACAGGAAAATGGGGAGAAAAAAAAACCCAACAACATGAGCGAGCATTTATTGTACTCTGTATATATGCCATAGTATATGTCTGAATATGGAGGATCTGAAAGTCTATGTTAACTAATTTATACAGAGTATTCTATGTAATGTGAAATACTTGAAGCCGCTGTAGTTTGCTCTCTCTTTCTCTCTCTTCTGTCTCCTTTTTATTTTTGTTTTTTTTTGGGGTTTTTTTTTTGATGATGTGATGGAAACATATCAGGAGGACAAGACTTCATTCCTGCTGACTAAAGCATACAGACCAGGAAGGGAGGTCAAAAGTACTCACTGGGGGCCAGTAACACATTTTTTGTTGCTTTAATCCACTTTAAATTCATTTCTCATCCAGTAAAATCGACACTGTGTCTCATATCACGCACACCCGTCAACCAACGTCTGTCCTTTACTCTCCCGTCATTTTTGTGTCCTTTGTTTTAAGTGTGTCTTGACAAAAAAAAACACAACAAAAAAAAAAACGCAGCCTTTTCTTCTTGCCTTGTCTTAACGCTTTAACGTAACCAAACAGGAATTCTGTCTAACAACCAAACGCGTTCAAAGGGGTGAGAGGCGAGCCACCTTGGTCCAGCTTTAGTGTCCTTAATTAGTAAAAAAAAATGAAAACAAAAAAAAGAAAAAGAAAGGAAAAAAACGTGAATGGCTGTGTTATTAACTTTTCGTCCTGCTTTTGACGACAAAGCAGCTCCTCACGTGTGTCTGGTGGTTGAGTTAAAAAAAAAAAAATAAGAAAGGAAAAAAAAAGTGCATACGTTGTTGTCCGGTGTCTCGCAACAATTTCCTCTTGACTCTTTCTAGCTGTTTTTTTTCTTTTGGGTAGGAAGCTCTCCCCCTTTTTTATTTATTACGACGACCCATGTATACATGCTTATGAAATTCAAATTTGATATGCCGATATCAATTTATTTATGTAACTAAATCACTGTTTTATAATCTTGTTAATGAGTCAATAATTGATTTTTTCTTTCTTTTTTTTTTTTTTTGTTTAAATAAAAGTTAATTTTTGAAATGTTGTTGACGTCTTCTGCTGCGCTTCCCTTCGTAATTGGTTTCGTTTCAACGGCGTGTGGCACATCCTTGTCTTTTTAGGTCTGCTGCAACAACCTTGTTCATCAAGTCCCTCGGAAATGTCGCCGCAACTTGCCAACGGTTCTTTGAGTCTGTACTTAGTTGTGGTTTCTCCCCCTTTTTAATCGTTCAGTTTTGTCTTTGTGATGATAAAAATACGACTAATAATGATGAATGATGTCATCGGGTTGAAATGCCAAAGAAATCGAACTGAGCAAATAGAACCATCCCGCAGCTAGTTTGTTTAGCACGTCGTGCGTTATTTTGGTACGTGGGCAGGCGGAAGCACACGGAGAAATCAAATCGGGGTGGCGGTGGACGGGGTGGGGGCGCCACTCCTGCCGCAGCGCTGTCATGTGGAAATGTTATCCCTCGCTGGTAGTACCTCATTTTGCTTTGTCGTGTCAGCCGAGCTGCGGGATGACTACATCGCTGCATTTTGTCAGGTGTTTGTGGTCGTGTGTGTGTGTGTGTGTGTGTGTGTGTGTGTGTGTGTGTGTGTGTGTGTGTGTGTGTCAGGGGGGTCTTGAGGGAGCGGCTGGGAACAGGTGGTATAGCAGCGGCGGCGGTAGCAGACTTACAGGAGCTCCTGACAGCAGCGAGGTCCCCCGACTCACAGCCCCCGCTCATTAAACATTGACACAAAAACACCACAACTGTCTGCGTGTGAACAGTAATGAGGCCCCTGTGTGTGTGTGTGTAATATTGCCCAGCTGCAGATCGAGGAATTCATCGGTTTATCTACGAAAGAACCTGCAGTCAGAAGCCAAGCAGTTTCTTTTTGTTGAGGGAGATGCCAGTGTTGGAGAGACTACTGTCGTCAAAAAGTTTTATCAGGTCATGCTTAGTTGTCCAATGGTCGTGTGACAAAGGCCAGCCTGGGACAAAATGGCCGAACTGTGTGTGTGTGTGTGTGTGTGTGTGTGTGTGTGTGTGTGTGTGTGTGTGTGTGTGTGTGTGCGCGCGCGTGCGCATTTGTCCAGTAATGTTGCCCATCGAGGTGTTATCCTGTATGGTGTGTGGTCTGCACTGATGATTGTTGCCCTTATCCACCTGGAAATCGGAAATAACCAGCTTCAGAAACAGAAGCAATTCTGCTGATAGAGGCCATGCTCAAGTGTTCAAATGTTATATGTGAAAGATGCCTGCCTGGATGACATGCATATGTTCCTGTTTGTGCGTGTGCGCATGCACGCTCATCCATGTGTGCTTTGTTATCTTTACAAATGTTCACCAGGATTTTAGGGATCTTACCAGCCATACTCAGGTGTCTAATTGTTATGTGGTGGATGCTTCCTAGGACAATAGTCAAACAGTCATGCGTGTGTGTCTGTGTGTTAATGTTGATTGTAGATGTGGGTACCTGGATATGCTGTCGAGAAATTCACCAGTTTTAGCAACAGACGTAACTCTGCTGTCAGAGGCCACAATCTTGTGTCCAGTTGTTCCACGTAGGTGTGTGTGTGTGTCTGCTTGCATGTGTGTGTGCGTGCGTGCGTGCGTGCGTGCGTGCGTGTGTGTGTGTGTCTGTGCGTGTGCTTTCATGTGCGCGTCTGCATACCTATGACCTGCATCCAGGTCCCGAGCTGACTAGCAGCTGGTAATGACATCCCGCGGGTGCAAGCGGGCCCAAGCAGGCCTGTCTGAGTGTATACTTCTAATGACATCGTGATCACACACCGCCGCCTTTCATGCTCCAAAAAAGAAAAAAAAAAAACTATGAATTCCAAACCCACGCCGTCATCTCCCGCCTTCGAGCCACATCAAGGCTGACGTTTACTCACCGAAGCTGTCAGTCTGTCTGCCTTTCAACTTTCACCTCTAACACAAAGAGTACAGTTTGAAGATCGAAGAAAAGATGGTTTGAAAAAAAAGTCAACATAAGTTGCACTGATGTTTGAAGAGCAGTGACTATGTCATCATCCTTGTCAGTGGCAAAAAAAGGCAATCATCATCACTTCATGATGATGATTGCCTTTTTTTTTTCTTCAGGCTTCAGGTATCACCTTCCTGTCGTGTGTTCTTAGGCA